AGAGAATGCAGAATTCCACCACACTGTAATTGCTCCGAATTCCCGCGTTAAATGAATGCAAGCAAATTGCAGGACATTTATCCGTGGCAGTGTTCGGGAAAGCCGAAGAATTCTGTATTACAAGTTTTTTTTACTGAAAAAAAAATCGGGTTCTTTCTCTTCTATGGCTTGCTCTGATTCAAACAGACTAAACTACAGTATAAACCTATAGCTATCAAATATGTTTCATCCATCATTTTGTTCCTGATTTGGTACTGTTGCTTTTGTAAACAAATGAAGACTTTCTGCGAGTTTGACATGATTTACCTTACAGTCCACACTGTGCCAGCAAACTTCAGTAAGTAAAACCTGCCATCAGCTTGCCTGTAATTGAAACAGAAATTGAATTTATGATAGAGTAAGCAGAAAACGGGTGGGAAGGAGAGGAAAAAAATTAAAAAAAAAGAAGAAAAAATTGAGAGTTGTTTACGCGGTAGGGCCATGTGTTATTTTGAAGAGCACAAAAAAGGCCATCCACCTCTCTCCTTTATCTGTGGAGGAAATCTGGACGGTGAAGAGCTTAGATGAAGGCCGGAAGGGAAGCCAGGGAGCTGCAGTGTGGTAATATGATCAGTTATCAGCAACTTGTCCGTGTTCACCTTTATGATGCGCTTGAAAATACGCAAGGAGCGAAGCTCATCAGCACAGTCGACGCTCAGCAAAGTTAATGTAAAAAAGTAAAGGAACAAAGAATGAAGAATGGGGAGAAAAGTAAAAGGGTAAAAAATAGGTTAAAAATTGAAATAAATAAGAGTGACTTGCATACAGAAAATGCTACTCCAGTCTGCTTTCTATGCATTTTTATACATTTTTGCACATTTATGCAAATGCAACTTAGTTTATTATGCATCAGCTTTGCGGGTGCGAGCATGTGTTTTTTTGCAAAGTTTTCCCCATAGATATCTATTGCCAAGCAGCACTGATTTTTTCGGCAGATACTTTTAACTCGACAAATTAGAACTGACCACTCAGTTGCCGCAACTGTCACAAAAATTTCTAGTAAATATATTTGTGGGCCATACTCAGAATACTTTAGATCTCCAGTCGCTTTGTTTCTGGAGTTACGTCAACCTTTCATGTATCAGCACGTGAGGAAAAACGAAAGCTTTTTTTAATGCGTACCAATCCAAACAAATTCGGGTGCCGGGCTCAACAAATTTCAGTGTTCAAGCTGCGTTGGTTGCGGGATTACATCAAATTTCATGCGATTCTACATGAAACTTGGGAGGAACACGAAGTGTTATGCGTTTTTGCTGTTCAGCGCTATAGCGCTGTCACAGTGAGCCGAAACGCGTAGTATTGAGAAATCCCCGTGTGTGTGTGTGTGTGTGTTCGGAAGCTAGTGGACCTTACCAACTTTCAATTCAGCAACCAGAAAAGCTAGAAGGCTGAAATTTTCCTCACCCACCTATGACATAAAGATTTCAAATTCAGCGCTCGGATGCGTCGTTCTTGCATGCGGGCATGTGAAAATTTCTAACTGGGAAATTGCTAGCTCGTCAACCACAAAAGCTGAAAAGCTGAAATTTTAGGGGAATGACCCCTGCCTAGGTACAAAGATTTTAAATTCAGCCCCAGGTACATGTGGTTTTCATGCACGGCACGCAAAGCTTTGTTGGGAAACTTGCTCACTTTCGAAAAATGAAGGCTAGATGGAAATAGTTCATTTTCTTTTATGCGTAATTTATACAATGCTTTAGGCTAGTAAGTACACAAGTAGATATAAAGCAACAACCACACACACAGATAACGATCTAATTGTTTCATGTCTAGTGCAAAAATGCATAATGGCACCGGCACTTGTGTTCCGGACTAAAGTATTTAGGACCATCCGCCAAGCTCAAAAAACTTCAGCCCTCTGGCTATTTTATTTTCAGAGTTAGAAGACTGGTACTGTCAAATTTCACGTGCCTTGCGTGAGATGCATGATGGCGTGAAAGCTCAAATTATTTTCACGAGCGCAACAGAGGAAAGCAAACAAAGTCGCAAAGTCACAGCCCTTTCTACTCGGCCTATCTCTGGTTGGCATGATGCCATTTTAAAACTGACGTATGAGAACTTGATACCTACGAGTGCGAGAAGGCTAACAAAAGACATCTTCGTGAAGTTCCAGCCACCTAGCTTACCTGGCTCCCGAAATCACTCTTCCATCAAAAACCTTTCACGTGTCAGTACGTGAGCACCAGAAAGGCGCGAGCGTCACATTACGTTAAGGAGCCGTAAAATGCTGAATTTTCAATTTTATAGCTTTCATAGGCCTTAATATCAAAAAATCTAGACAAGCGTTGCGCGCGCGCACTAACATACCAGCAAACACACACAAACAAGAGCGCACGCAGCATTCACAAGACGACATGCCATGAATAATAGTGGTGCCACGAATAGTTGTAGTAACACGATTAGCTGTGGTACCAAGAATGGCTGTGTTGCGGCGAATTGTGGTGACGTCACAAGTAATTGTGGTCACAAGTACATCACGAGTTGTTGTGGCGCCACTGATAATTCCGGCACCACGAATAAATGACGTGTCATGTACAGTTGAGGTGTGAGGAGTACCACGAACAAAATATGTACCACGAGCATTTGGGGCCTCTTCGAATAATTGTACTAGCATGAATAATCACAGAACCGTGAATATTTCTTGCTCCAAAAATAATTTTGGCACCATGGGCAGTTGTGGCGGCCTAAATTATAAGTGGTAAAACGAGTAACTGTGGTATTTCGAATAACTTTGATGTCTCTGGTAGTTGTCGTACTACGAATAATTTTGATAAAACGAGTAATTGTGGTACCACGAACGGATGTGTCACGGCCACTAGCTGTGCTCTAGCTGTTGTGATATCACGATGGTTGATTTACACCGAGTAGTTGTGGTGCCGGAAACAATTTTATTGCCCTGAATAATTTTAGCAGCGCAAATACTTATGGCCTCACGAATAAGTAAATGTGTTAGCAGGAATAACTGTGGTACCATGAATAGTTGTGAAAGCACGAAAAACTGTGGTACGGCGAATAGTAGCGGTGCTACAGGTAGTTGTAGTATCATGACTACTGTGGTACCAGGTACAGTTGTGGTGCCAGGAAAAGTTGTGCTATCGCTAATAATAGTGATGCCATGAATAATTGTCCGGGATCCCCATTCTATTGCTGCTTTCCCCGGTCCCCGATTTACAGAATTGACCTGGATTTATAGACACTTAGCCTGAATCTAAAGACATAAACCAAAATAAGGGAAGATGCAAGGATCACTTCTAGGTTCCTAGCTTTCGCAAAAGCTCATGTACTTTGTTAATAACTTTTGGCTTGGATTAAAAGACATAACGAAACTGAAACTGAGCTTGATCCTTCCTCCTTTTCCACCTATTCCAAATCAACTCTGTAACTGTTGTGCTAACGAGATTCAGTTGCTGCGTTGAGTTAAGACACATCTTAATGATTCGAAACGTGTCAACTCCCGTTTTCAGTTC